TGATTCCCCCCCCCCCCTGAGATACACGGATGATATGCCAGAAATCTCGACAAGTTCACTACTTGTGCTGCGCTATCCGTAAGCGCATTTGTCGCTCTGATTGATAGTATAATGACATATCGTCACATTGATCAACAAAATGAAATACAGTTTCGTCTTGGAAATAGTAAGGAAATGTAGGTATCTTTGGGTAACATCGGTAATAGTGACAACATTTTGATAAGTCACTTGCTTGATATTGTGCGATTTTCGTTTACACTATTTTAAGTTTTAACACAAACTAAATATTTCACCTGAGTATTGCTTATTTTATCGTGTGAAAATGTTATTGTCAATGTGTACCATTTTCATTTGGACAATTTATTGAACGCCTTAATATTCAGTTATTTTATAAATTGACTGAAATATCGGTCGATTTATGTTATAATGATAACGAAATCAAAACATTTTGATGTTTAATTTCATCACATACTGGCTGAAAATGGTGTTTTCAAGCTCTTTTGAACGTCTTAATAAATTTGAGCTAAATAAATGAACAGCTTTTTCAGTCAATTTGTAAAATCACTGAAATCTTTAGACATATTATAAATTGCCTGAGTAAATCCCATTTTACACATTGACTGTAACGTGTACACGCCTGCAAACGAAACTACGTTTTGAAAACAACGGCTTTGTGTTGACTGTCTTGCATCGAAGAACTTCCCAACGAAATCGTAGAAGAACATTGAAGATTTTGTAGAATGCTATAGCAAATGAAATAAAATAAAATACAAATTTCGTAATTACAACGTTATTCAACGACCAAAGTTATATGTATGATATTAGGCAGTCTCCTTTCAAGGAATGTATCCGTAAATATATACAGCTGTACAATTTACAACAGACCCCGATTTAGATTGAATAATTACCCCATACACAAGCAATGCCAAATGGGAACCTGTCAGGAAATCTGAGTGGTGATACCCCTAATTATACCTGTAATAAATTCATCAACTGAGCATCAAGTGAATGATAACAAAGACACAGGTGTAGGATTATGCCAGGAAACATGGATGGTAACAAGGAACAAGCTTCACGTGCGAAAATAATCGCGAGATTTCGGACATTCTCCTATACTTCTGTGCTTGTTTTGGCTTCAATCATCGGTGACCTCGTGAGATTTGATTTATATCATTCATGTCGATGTTGTTTTTTCAGTTGATAACATGACACCTTCAGGAGGCAATCTATCAGGATAAACTCATCCAAATATGCGCACTTACATAATTAATTCATCACATGGTCCGGTTAAATTGTGGAGAAGTATGTGAGGTACATGCATTATTATCTCCAAAAAAGGCTCTGCTACCTTCGCAGAGAGTGTTCAGTACACTACACCCAAATTCGTCCGAGACTAACTAGGTTGGAGATACACTGTGCACTGAACTCCCATCAGTGTATTCTTGGAAAGTTCCGAAAATCATTACACCCACGCCATTGTTAAATATTGGCAAATGGCTAATGCAGTAATGAACGTTTATTCAGTAGTTGGAGTTGATACATGCCACTGAGAGACGCAAGTACATACAAAACGCCGAGGCCGATATTTGCCAGGTAAACAATAAACCAGTCATTTGACACCTGTAATATCCTTATACAACACTAATTTCTCACATCAGTCATCTATAATGTTAAATTCCCCAGAATATAACATGCACCATAAATCAATTACCCACATGTATCTGTCTCAACAGCAGAAATTCCATGTGTAGCAAACTTGACGAATCAGAAGGCAAATGCGAGATGTGTTATCAAGGTAAAACACGTATTCAATTTCATTTATATCGTCAAAACTGAGTAAGATAATTTCTGTGAAAACATCTGATTTTTGAGTGACTGATTAAGACATATTCTGGGAATCAGATTGTCCAATCACCGTCCAAGAATGATTGAATGAGTGAGTGAGCTAATGAATATTCTTTTGAGCCGACTTTAGCATTAGTTCAACAATATCACGAGTGGGACAAAACGAAACGAAACGAAACGAAACAAAAACAAAAACTCCAAAATGATGTACTCGTGTAAACTCACATACACGCGGGATACAAACATAATGGATGTAGTGCTTTACACCAAATATGTTGTTTTTCTTCGTACTCGGTTTGTGATTTCAGACAGTAGTCAGTGGTTATGTGAAACAAGATCACAATGATGTTATGCACGATTCAGGGGAGAGGTATTTGTTACTCAGGCGCAAGTATCGATAGAATAACATTAAGCTGATGAAGCCATGTGTTTGTAGTAACGTAACTGAGATTGTTGTATCTGCATATTTTTAAATATTTGTGGTCAACTATGAGACAAATGAACCTTTTGGGTGAAAAATCACATTTTGACTTCTCATTATATTTAAAAACTACAGTATCTTAGGAACACAAAAAATCACAAGCTTCAGTTCATATTTAGTAAAGGAATACATTGCATAAACTTTGGACTCATTTTCTGCAAAGACCAATTTAAAATAGTTTATGAAACTGTTTATGTAATAATTGCACTTTTTAAATAAACTGCCTGATTAATTGAAAGTAGGACGTGTATGCTAAAATTTTGTGAAATAAAGTTTTATTATATTACGAACTAACGAGAGAAAAGTTAGATGTTTTTGTACAGTCCTCACACATGGCCATTTTTTTACGGAAGTATGTTGACGTCAAATGTCCCTCTTAATGACGTGACTACAATTGTATCCTAGCACCCTGGTTGGTCACATTTGTTATTTCCAAAGAGGGATCCGTCTTGACTGTATCGACAGGATGCAAATATGTATCTATGTTTCCATCGCGAAGTGAATCCTGTTTTTTGACATGTGCGGTTCTTTGCATTATTGAAAACGTCAACGCTGGATGTACATCAGTCTCGATTATCTGCCAAAGCCTGATTCAATTGGGCTGTATTCCTGGTAGCCAACCCGGGTACTCTCCCAATGCGTATCAACAGATTGAGAGGTACCAAACCTAAGGCACCGAGAACAATGGGGAGTCGGACAACTTGGCACTTGGGATGCAAGCGTGACATTTCGAAAGCGAGGCCTGGATATTTGCCATGTTTTCCCTCAATCATGTCAATCACAATAGTGTCAAAAGGGACGGAAAATTCAATGATATAGATTATTTCATTGGATTAAACAAAAAGGACAAGATCAGGTTTGTTGGCCTGGCTAGGTCTGAGGCTGTATACGGACCTATTCCAAAGAAGTTTGTATTTATCATTTTCCTTGAGTCTCTACATTATCTGGGTCGTACAATGGATGGACTTCTTTTTCCACCCTGTCGCGTAAGATACTGTGTTTGTGTTTGGGCATCCACTGACAATGTGATGCATTACATTTTGATGCAAAATCACACACTGACAGTTTCCAGTGGTCCTGAGCAGCAAACAGAAAGCCTACGGTTTCACTTTTCAGGTCAGCCGACTTCATCACAGCGAAGACTTTGCAGGGTTGCTTTCTTCTGAACACACTGCACATAAACGCGTTGTAGTGGTCGTTCGATTTGATATGGCACTTCACTTGGTTGACACAGAACTATCAACAAAGTCAACATTGACATTGAGATTAGGTCCCACATTCTTGGCTTGTTTAAGAAAACTATGGAATGCCTTGTTTTCATCATGAGTCTTGACACATTTCACAAGATCGTCAGACAAATAAATGTGTGCAAAAGTGCACAATACAATTCTACCATGAAGAGCCTCAACGTTAATCAAAACACGCCCTCCCATTATAATTGGTAAATATAAGCGATTGAGAGAAGAGCGAGGGTGGTGGTATCTATTATCTAACATGATTCTTCGTTTGAGGGTGTCAATACCCTGAATTTCTTCTTCCTCTTTATAGTCGGAATCGTACAATGGTCTTTTTAGCAAATAATCATAATGGAACTATTTTAATTCAGTTATGCTATATCAGGTTATCGCGATTACACAGCTCAGTGTCCCTATAATGTGACATAAGACTATATTGGAAGGATGCAGGCATGATACAAAAAGGGCCGAATGGAAATAATACCTTTTATTGTTGGTGATTAATTACAAATATAAACAGTGTGAGGGGACAATGCACTACAAAGGTGAGGTGAGGTGAGGTGAGGTGAGGTGAGGTGAGGTGAGGTGAGGTGAGGTGAGGTTTAACGTGGCGTCCAAGATTATTGCACTTATATAGCGACGTGCATGCACGTGTGTATGTGTGTGTGTGGCTGCTTGTAGTAGTCCGGGCTGATGCCGATTTATAGTGCTAGCAGACTGAGATACCATGCCGCAGTTTAACATGAATACCCCACTCAGACACAGTAAACTGACTCCGAGCCGACCAGTCCTTGTTTTAGCCCCTTAATGTCGAGCGCCAGACAGGGTTACAACAAGTACCATCTTTTAACATCTTTTGGTATGACGCGGCCGGGGATCGAACCCCGGACCTTCCGCTCAACGGGCGGACGCTCTACCACTAGACCACGGAGGCGGTCTTGCACTACAAAGAAGAAAAAGAGTCCGTTTATTGATCTAAAAGTGCTTGTTACAATTAATGACCTCATTATTTATAACAGTCACGTTTTCATTTACCACATATTCACATGTTTCTGAAGTCGTCAATGCATTAATATATCACTGACACATAGCTGTAGTTCTCTGTTTGTTGTTCTTTGTAGGAGTTAATGACCACATTTTGTTATATGATCGGCACAAGGACATAAAATTCTGCCGTTAATAATGCAGTCAAGTGAATGTACATGCGTGGGCTTCCTAGAGTGTATCACGTAGTATTCACATAATGGTTGATGATAGATTTACACAAATGCAAACAGTGAAACATTTTTAGTTAATTGCGTTTACAATTCAAACAATAAACGGGTAAAAGCATATTTGATTTACTACCTTCGTGAGCGAACCGGAAAACAACCCAGTTTAGCTGATTGACACTATAATTCGCCACCACTAGCTTGACGCCCAGTAGAGTGAAAGGGACATCTCGGGTACCTGACAGAGAATATAAATGTTGCTGCTGTACACAGAGGTAGGGGTGCATCGGCTGGAGGCTGTAACATGTGGACTGTACCTATTGTTGTTACTGGGGACCACTAGAGGTCAGGATGACCACCATATACTTCGACTACACAATGACATCATCAAAAACAACAACCCCAAAGTCAGACCTGTCAAGAACAGCAGTGACACCATTACGGTCTTTTTACAACTTCATCTTCTCAGCATGTCTGATTTTGATGAAGTGACTCAGACAGTGACAGCTAATGGGTTTTTCTTTTTGACCTGGAAAGATGAGTTCCTAACATGGAACGCCAGCGAGTATGGAGGAGTCGGTGAAATAAGTCCTGACTATGGGATGGTGTGGAGACCTTACATCACTATTCGTAACGTCGTTGAAAGTGTTGAACCCCTGGGACTCGACTTCGGGATCATTAAAGTGACAGCAGATGGAATTGTGACTTCGTTGCCTGGCGATACCTTCAAGACTTTCTGCCTAATGGATGTTACCAATTTTCCTTTGGATGAACAAGAATGTACTTACAGTACGTTAGATTGGGGAAATACTATAAAAGAAGTGGATTTACAACCGATCAATAACTCTATAGGATTAGACCTGTTTAACGCTAACAGCCAATGGGATATTATTCACACATCTGCGCATAGAGTTGTCCTTCAAACCAGCGACATGCCTCATCCATTTATAAACTTCAAAATGACACTGAAAAGAAAGTCCTCCCTAGTTATACTGACAACTCTGCTGCCTGTCCTGATGCTGGCATTAGTCAATGTGATGGTGTTCCTCATTCCTGTGGAATCTGGGGAGAAGCTGTCCTTTGCCATCACAGTGCTACTGTCTTTCATGGTATCCCTGACCTTCATCACTGGACTGCTGCCTCAGAACGGTGACACCTTACCTGTATTTACTATCTTCATTGTTGGCCAGTTTGTAATGAGCTCTATCTACGTGTTTCTGACCATCTGGATCACGCAGGTGTTTTATCGAGACGCTGCCATCAGGCCTGTTCCTTCCTGGATGGGGCGTATAACAAGGGCCTGGGAAAGATGCATCTTTGGCACCTCTGCAGTCGGAAACCAGGAGACCCTGACACAGGAAAGGATGTCAAAGGACTCATGGAATCCCCCATCAGTGACCTGGAAGCGAGTTAGCAGAATGATGAACAAACTTTTCTTTTGTTTGTTTTTCATGCTGTTCATCATAACAACTTTGATTGGTTTCCTTAAGATAGCATATTTTTGACATGTCACAAACTACGGCCACGTTCATCACGTGAGCTATAAACGTATAAACCATGAACTCATAAACTGTCCAAATGAAGTAAACGAATTACACATAGACAATGCGACAATACGAAACTAACCCATTTGATGTGTCAGTGATAGTATATATCTCTAGTTGTCTACAACGTAATGGGAATAGGATGATAGCATACGAGGATGTTTACAGTTGGCACATGTCTGTTTACTTACAAGTTTACAATTTTTTTGGATATTGCTGAAAACATCATTCACACACTCTATTGACAGTTCTGTTTGTTGTCTATTTACGTACTTGTGAGGTATTTCATATTTGTATTCCTTTATTATGGATATTTCTTTTCACATGTCTATCCACGGGTTCATGTGTAAGTGGTATTTCCATTGTCTGTGGATATTTGTTTGTTTGTTGTTTACGCCGCACTCAGCAATATTCCAGCTATATGACGGTGGTCCGTAAATAATCAAGTCTGGACCAGACAATCTAGTGACTGATGTCAAAAGAATTGATCTATGCAATTGGGATACGATGACTCTCAATAAGCAAATCAGCGAGCCTGGCCACAGGATGAATTTTGGTAGCCTCTTGCGATAAGCATAGTCGACCTTTACGACAAGAAGACCCATTCTAACCCGGATCTTCACGGGTGTTTTGTTGAAGTATCCGTGCCTTGTGTATTACAGTTCTACTGAAGTATCACGTTAGTAGTATAGCATTGGTTTTGTGAAACCCTATGTCAGACGTCACTATATGTTGATGGTCGCTTCAATTCGGATAGAATAACAGTGTCAGTGATGAATCCACGAGTCAGCTGTCAGTATAGATGTCTCAATTCGGAAGTAAAACTTTGTATTGACGTATCCAGCGTCAGGACGTACACCCGTTTAATGTATCTGTTACGTAATAAATCCTCTTTATTGACTCATGCATGTGCTTGTGATCTCAAGACCCGTTTTGTAGGTCACCTGAAGGTGAGGTGAGATAACATCATGGGTCCAAATTCGTCATCGAGAGTCGTCATTGCGCAACATGCATGTCTCTACTGAATCAGATAAGGACACCGCTAGTCTAAATATCAATTATGACTGCTTGCATTTTATCTAGTTAAAAATTGCATCAATCATCAACAACAATCCATATGTCATGTCATTGACATAAATTGACATGCAAGTCATCACTTTATATGCATCCATGTTATTACATACCAACCTGAACAGGTTATAGTTGGTATTGGAACCAGTAAAACTAGAGGAACTTATTGCAAAAAATATAACAATGCTGTGCTTCTTTTTCTCACCATCACAAAATAGCCTCGTGAGAGAGATTTGGTTTTACCTTACTCTGTGATTATATTTGGTACTCAATAGGGCTTTCGTTTCCAATAAATGATTTCGGAAGTTAACTTCAACACAATTTTTAATTGATGCTGTAAGTTTGTTGAAACGAAACTCTTCTCAGAAACTACTTTGGTTTAATCAAAGATATGAAACGACGGTTAGACCTTCCACTTTAGTTGCAGACCTCACAGTTTTCAACAATGCCGAGATAAATGAGTATCTTCACCTAATCAATCAATCAGACGCGACAAAAAAAACCAAGTGAGACACCTTATTGAATGTCCAAACACCCTACTAAGATATATGGCAAGGGGAATTGCAGAACGTTTCTATCCAATAAGAAATGATTTGTACGAAATTAAAGAAAACTTAAAACTGTTATGAAATATTCTCTATCTAGCGAATTGAAAGGTTTCTAATAGTGGTAAGCCAGAAATCTAAAAAGTCTAGTTACTTCGTATTCTTCAATATGCCTACCAACAACAAAACCTTTTCGGTCTTCACTAATTATACAAGGTAATATCTGTTTTATTCTAAGGTCTTGAAACTCGGCGGGTCGGCATGGGCTCTCCAACCACTTTGGCAGTCCAACTTTGGAATTTTCCCGATTTTCTCCAGGCCTTAGGGGCTCCGTTCTGTCAAGCCATGACTTGCCATTTCTGGTGCCCCCCGCCGTAATATTGCTGGAACATTGCTAGAAGCGGCGTAAATCAATACTCACTCAGTCACATAAAGATATTATGGATAATTCTATATTACAACCATTTTAAGTCGATACTGTCACGTATTGAATCAACCACAAACACAAATTAAGTTTTAAGAAAGATTTATTCCCTCCCTTAAGTTAACTTTAAAGCCCAGTAACAATATTTAAATGCAAACTTATACCAAATTAACTGACACAACTGACTAAACTAGCTTAACTTATCCTATCCTACTTCTATTACAAATGCCCTACTACTAACAATACTAACATCTACTACTAATACTAATATCTTATTACTAACAATACAAATATCTACTACGAACAGTACAAATATCTACTACTAACAAAACAACTATCACGATACTACTATCTTAATACTAATAGTCTACTTCTAACAATACTAACACAGCACTAATACAAATGTTCTAAAAATAACACAAATAATACACATTAATAACTTCGTGGGTATACATATATACAAAAAAACACCCCCCACAAAAAAAACCCACAACAAAGCCACTCCACTGTCACTGTCACATCAGCTGTATACATAAAACTCAAGAATCTCTGATGTCACTGATCAGTTCACACGGGGACACTTCTTTGTAATATATAGAATGGTGATCTTTACACCCAGGCGCTGTTTTCCCCACGGAGTAGAGGGTGCTTGTGTTACTTGGATGCCACGGCTGTGTTCATCCTATGATATGCACTGCAACGGAGATACTTCTCTCCTTACGTAGTGTCGGAGAACTTCTCTCCTTACGTAATGTTGGAGGTTCGGCCTTCCTCCTACGTACTATCGGAGGTACTTCTTTTCTCCTACGTACTTGACTATAAGGATAACCGGTCAGTTCCGGGACACTACAATATAACATAAGCAACTATAGTTACTGAGGTATGTGTACAATACATACAACAATGCACCAATACTCCGATTTACATTTTACTGAGTGGAACTGTTTATACTTTGATCATGTTGTTGTTATTGTTACAATGGCTTTACGTTATTACAATCTATATGTGTATATAATTACATTTGAAAACAATGCATAACTCAAAATTCTATCCTCTAAAATACAATTCTACCTGAAACAAATTAATGTAAAAACTTACGCCAACCAGAGTAGTAATCTCCCACAATGTTAGTCCATGCCTTGAATAAACATCCTGATTCTGGCTGACTGTACAAATTATTACCCTGCCCCGCTATTTAAACTGACCCCAAAGTCTAAGCTACCCCTGACCTACCTATTGTTACACCAATTAACTCTCCACGCTTCCCTGAACCTAACCTGTTCCCATAGTATTACCTGACAATATCCCGCTAAGCTTAATATACTAATGTAACCATACCAGTATACATCTATCTTAAGTACTAACATATAATTTATATATACAAGATTATCTGTGATCTTGACATATACTTTGAGTACATTTATCTGCGACAATATTTAAAAGCTTTTCAATCATTGTCAGTATATTGACAATTTGATTTGTGTTCCCATCTGGAATAACATGGTAACGTTTCATAATTTAATTTAGAAGGGTAGCGAACAAATGTTTATTTGTGAGTGTCGAGTTGATAAGCAGAGGATTGGAATGGGTACACAGGGTTAGTCAAGGTTTTCCTAAATTGCTCTACGTCTGTGTCCCTGTGTCGGTGGAGGAAGGGTTTCTTGTGGTTGAGGGCACTGGAGCCAGGAACAGTGTCCCTTTTGCCCAACACATCACTTTGACCCTAACTTCACCTAGACGGGTGGTAGAATGGGCCCGGTTTTATCAATCGGCTGGTCACGCCATGCCCTGTGCATGGTATATTTCAATTTTGAATATATCCTTAAGATTTTGGAAACATTATAAATCTGCCTAGAGTCCTATGCCAGAAGGCGGTGGCTCATGGGCCAATCTGGCATTATTGACCACCGGGTTCTATTTGTCATCAGCTAACTGTCTCCGGGGCGGAACCAGCCTTACTTTTATACTGTTTGACAATTTTTTTTCCCTGTGTCTTTTCTGCTGGAGTATAGCACCCCTGTAACCCTGATGTTTGTAGTCGGCTCCCACTGCAGCACCGTCCTTGTAGACACTCCATGGTGGGTGGGGAGCAGGGTTGTTGAATATCATTTATTCCATAATGGTTACCCCACAGTTCACTGGTTCTCGATAAAAAAATAAAAGAAGGCATATTGATACAGATACTGCATTACTTTCTGCTGAGGAATCTGTACAAAATATTGATTCTTGGCCATGATTTCTGGTTGTTGAAGGGGTTGTTGGTGAGCCTCTCAAACTCAACCCCTTTGTAGTTTCAAAATCTATTGAAGGTATTTGTGGTACTGTAAAATCTTTTACTCGTCTCCGGTCCAGTTCCCTGCTTGTGGAATGTGCAAGGAGAGAGCAATCTCTGAATCTACTCAAAGCCCAACATTTTGCAAATACAGAGATTGTTGTCCCCTCAATTCATGTAGGGGCATTGTACGTGACTGTGCAAAGTGCCTCTCAGACATGTCTGAAGAAGAGATTGTTGCAGAATTGAAATCTCAAGGTGTATCTTCTGTGAAACGGTTCACCATGAAAGATAGTGATACTATCATTAAAACAACTACGTATCTTTTCACATTTACCCTCACAAAGCTTCCTTCCTCCATTAAAGCTGGTTATCTTAACATCGGAGTGGATGTATATATACCAAATCCACTCTGTTGTTTTCAATGTCAACAATTTGGACATGGAGCCAAATCCTGTCGCCATACCCAAGTTTGCTCTCGCTGCAGTAAGACCCATGATAGCACAGACTGCACGGATACTATCAAATGTGCAAACTGCAGTGGCGATCATATGTCAACCTCCAAATCATGTCCCTCTCTTGTGACACACACAAAAATTCTAAAACTGAAATACACAAATGATATCTCATTTACAGAGGCGAAAAAGTTGGTTACAAGTGAATAAACCATTTCCACTTCTTCACGTACGTATTCTGCTGCAATCTCCTCTTCTCCGCTCAAGGCTGATAATAGCTGTCAAACAGCTATTAGCTGGATATCCACAGATCAGACAATTCTGTATCAAATAGCTGCTGACATCTGCACTTCATCAGCTGCACAAACTGAACCGCTGCCAGAAGCTGTACCATTGCCAGAACCTGTTATTCAACCAGACTGTGTACCTGAAATGAAAACAAATAGACAAGTTACGAACAAAGGAAAAAAAACAACGAAGGAAAGAAGGAAAGGCCCTCAAACACGTTGAGGAGCCTTTGTCATTGAATGTTCCTCTGGAGGTTCATAACACCTCTAAACCTCAAGATATCGAGGTCACTCCATCGCTACAAATACAGCGTAGAGGACCTTCCCCCTGCTCACGATCTCCAATTGAGCCTCCATGAGTTGCTCTCCCAATTTAATACAATGGAACTGTAGAGGATTTCGGAACAATTTTAATGATCTTCAGCTATTAATTCAATATTTCAAGCCATCAGCATTTTGTCTTCAGGAAACCTTCCTCAAAACCACATATAAATTTGATTTAAGACCGTACGATTCTTACCATTGCTTTGCCCCTCAAGGGGATAAAGCAGCTGGAGGATCTTCTGTTGCAGTACGTGTAACATTGAATATTGTGTTCTTTGCATGTACAACCATCGTACTCTCTCTGACAGTCTGATCTTCAGGCGGTGTATGACCAACTCCC